ATCTCTGGCACGACACGGATAATATCAACTAGCCGCCGAGGCCCTCCGCCATTATCTTGCACAGCCTGAATTCTGAATAATCTAGATGACCTTCGAAAAGATGTATTACTTACCCTAGGTAAAGCCCCAGTTGTTGGATTCATAATGCCATGTTGGATATGGGTTGTAGATGTTAAAGCCAGAGAATGTCCCATTTTGATATCTTCTCTGCAATTAAATGAGTGAACACTAGAGGCATAAGAAGTTGAAACCCAACCCTCTAATCAATTGAAAGGAATTTTAGGTTCATGTCCTCAGAAACGGAGGTAATTAAAAAAAGCCTATGTATATATTCCTACCTTTTGTTTTCCTTAAATGCCCCCCCACAAGACACTACTAGTAACAAATTAGCTAGAGGAGTTTTTTGTCTTTTCACAAAAATCAACCCGGTTATAATCCTCTCCTTCTTCCGGTTTCTATTTGTTATATTACTCCCTCAATTACTCTGTTGGTAAGCAACTTCCACTTCTAACCAAGAGGTTGTGAGTTCGAGTCTTCCCCAAGAACATAATAGGGGTAAGGTAACATACTATCCTCTTCAAACTCCACTTATGACATTACATTGTGTTGTTGTTTTTAAGCATTTAGTGATAATGGGCATTTGTCAATTCAGTAAGTTTTAAATGCTCAAAGCTTCAAGCTTTTTTCATTGACATTATTTAGTAAGTTCAGCGGATTGATTCCTTAACAGATTGGGTACTTGACAATGATGTCTTCTATATATCTTGGTCGCGATGATGAGTTATAGATATTTGTTTTTTTTTTCTTCTTTGTGCATAGATGAAATTACTTATCGAGTCATGTATGTGCTTCTTAATTGTGCTACTGCAGAAGATGAAAATTTCTCATTTTCAGGTGAAGTGCCATAGGAGATTCGAAATCTCACTAAATCTGGAAATATTGGATACAATTACTGTCATGGGCCGCTTTCCATACACCACCCATGACCCCTTGGCCGCGCCCCATGGCGGCCTAGCAAGCCTCACAATGCCTAGTGCCATGGTCGGCCACGTGGTCTCGGCAGCGCCAAGTGACAAGCACGCAAGCGCCTCTGTCGCCCCACCGATAACTCTCGCCAGCGCCCAGTGGTTGGCTAATGACAACAGCACCGCGCGCCCTGACAATGCCACGCGCGCAAATCCTGATGTCTCGCCAGCGCCCAGCTGCAGGCCCATTCCATCAGCGCCTTATGCACAGACTCTGATGCCAAGCACCAGCGCCCAGCCACAGGCAAATACAACAAGTGTCGCGCGCGCGCGCAGACCCTGACCCGCTAGATAAAGATGCTGCTATCGGATTTGTTTCTACTTTGTAATAAACTAAGTCCTTTTATTGTAATTATAGACTAGTTTTACATCATTTTCATCCAGCGTGCTTTTACCGCTTTATTAGGTCAAGTCATGTAACTTTGGTTTATTTTTTTTAAGCATTATTAGGGGGGATCAAGCAATCAAACATTTTCTAGCAATCATTTCTCTGTACTGGTGTCTCTCCCCCTCGATACCACATCTTTTGTAATCATCTTTCATTCATCAATAAAATCATCATCATCATTCAAAACTCAATTCTCTTCCCCAATTGCTCGTGACATTGGTTTTTTCGCACGGCATTGACAATCTAGTCTAGCGTGCGGAGGGGACCTCATTGGCGAACAGCAATCGTACTGACATCAGTTGCTTAACCTTACGCTGCCCTTCCAAGGAACATCAGGAAGGCACCGCATAACAGTTGGTATCAGATCCAGGCTCGACATTGGACGAGGGAACACATTTGCCATCATCACCATTTCTGACCATGGTGAATCACAGGGAGCGCCTAGTATCCCTAGAAGAGACGGTTGACCGACTACGACCCATTGTGGATAAGGTGCCTGATCTAAGCAACAACCTAGTGCAAAGGTTGGACAACCTGGACCGCAGAATGCAGAAGGCGAAAAATGACATTGCAAACATCAGTCGCGACTCTGAGGATGACTGGCAAACGGCAGCCATTGAAATTTCCAATATTCATGGCAAATTTGAGGACCTCCAACAGGAGCGTGCCGACGATTACCCATCGGAAATAGGAGGCAGACAGATTAACTGCCATGCAGCAAACCATAGACAACTTGACGGGCCAGCTCAACCTTGTCAATGTTGCTCTACAGATCCTACTTTGAGGAGGCGACAACCACATCAGGGGTGCAACAAATCTCACCCCCGTTCCACAGAAACTTAAGATATCATAGCCAAAGTCATACGACGGATCCCGGGATGCTAAAGAAGTGGAAAACTTCATCTTTGACATCGAACAATACTTCGATGCTGTGGGCCATTTGGAAGAATCCAAGAAGGTATCAACTGCTGCCATGTATCTTCAGGGCGATGCCAAACTTTGGTGGCGGGTCAAATACGAAGCCATCAGGGCCGGTGAAGATACTCTCCAGACATGGGACGAATTGAAGGCAGTCATACGCCTGCAGTTCTTCCCCGAAAATGTGGAATACAATGCAAGGAGAAAGATACGGGAGCTTCCAGCACACCAGGTCAGTGCGGGAGTACGTGTGCGAATTCTCCGCACTCATGTTAAACATACGCGACATGGGGGACAAAGACAAACTCTTCGCATTCATAGAAGTTTTGAAACCTCATGCCCGCATGGAACTACAAAGACAACGGGTAGACACCCTGCCCAAGGCCATTCAAGCTGCAGAATGCCTTGGCGATTATCACATGGGAACTCAGAATGACAGGCCCTAGCCGCCTGTCCGAGAGGGATACAACGGTAACCATCCAAGCAATGGTGGACCAGGCAAAAGTGGGGGAGATCGGAGTGCATCCAAGACTAAGACTCCTTCCTCAAGCAGCAACAGCGCTGCATCCATCAGCAATGATCAGGGGAGAAAGCCTCCTTCAGAATGCCATCATTGTGGTGGGGCACATTGGAACAATTAATGCCCAAACATAAAGATCAACGCTCATCAGACTGTCGAGGATGAACCAGATGCATCAGACTCATCTGACAAAGAACCGGTAGGCGCCTTCAATGCAATTGTTGGCTCTATCCAAGATGCCTTAGCGGGGACCAGTACATGTCCTCCTAAGAAAATCTCAAGCCCAACCACGAAGAAAGAGAAGGAAAAGATGGACGAGAGGCCTCCTAAACACGCGAGGACTCTAATGTTCGTCGAGCTAAAACTCAACGGCAAACCCATCAAGGCACTGATAGATACAGGTGCTACCCACAACTACTTGGCTTCAACTCAAGTAGAACGCCTTGGTATAGTTGTGCAAAAGAACAAAGGCTGCGTGAAATCCATCAACTCGCCACCCCAAACATTGGGTGGAATAGCTACAGATGTCCATGTGAAACTTGGCCCATATAAAGGAAGCATCGACTGGCGTATCGCAATTATAGATGACTTCGACATGATAGTGGGTTTGGCATTCATGTGGAAAACCAATACCATACCGGTACCAAATGCCAACATGCTCCTGATGATGGAAGAAAACGGGGCCAAGCCCTACACCATACCATGCATTTCCATAAAGATGATCGCTGGAAACATCTTGGTCATGCAGTTGGAGAAGGTAGTCAACAGACATGAACCCCTGGTTCCGACTATCCCCCGCGACAACAATCAGCCATCATGTCATCGGCCTTAAAAGACTGGTGATGCCCCTCGGCAGGTGAATACTTGTTAGCCATGCCACAAAGACAAGTCGGATCCCTTATCACAGACAGGACCCTTGCAGCCATTACATGTCCCACAGAGACCATGGGAAAGTGTTTCCCTCAGATACATCACAGGATTGCCCCAAGTCGGGAATCTTGCATCCATATTGGTTGTCATAGATCGGTTTTCAAACTATGAAACCCTCATAGCATCCCCGCAAAACATCTCAGCGGAAGACACAGCTCTACTCTTCTTATCGCACATTGTCAAACATTGGGGCCTGCCCAAAGACATCATTAGTGGGCACGACTCACGCTTCACTAACAACTTTTGGACCCATCTCTTCAATTGCTTTGGGTCAACCTTGAGTCACAATTCAAGCACACATCCACCATTGGATGGCCAAACAGATCGGTTTGATGACATGCTGGATGAATATCTCCGCCACTTTGCAATCGGATCACAGAAACATTGGGTGAAGTTTCTGGATGCTGCTCAACTGTGTTTCAACTCTGAAAAGTGCCATTATACAAACAAAAGCCCTTTTGAAATTGTTACCGGACAGCAAACGCTTCTCCTGCAGATGGTGAATGCATCAACCATGCTAAAATCTCCTCGAGCTGCCAACTTCTCGAGCGAGTGGGAGCGCAACAAAGGGATAGTGCAGAGTTATCTCGTCAAAGCCCAAGAGCGGCAAAAAGGTTCACCGAACAAAATATTTGCTTTGCCCAACATCAGGCAGGAGACAAATTAATGTTGAGCATTCCAAAGCGGTACTTGTTTGCAGAGAGGACCCATGACCCTCGCCTGTAGCAAAAACACATCGGGCCCCTATCCATTGAAAGACGCATTGGGAAGTCCACATACTAGGTGATAACTCTATCCTGGTGGAAGATCCATCATGTCTTCCATGTCAGCTGCATGCAATCATTTCATCGCTTCCAAAGCAAACACAGAGCGCAGAGGGGCACAGACCTCCCAACCAATAGTCATTAGATCAATCATCATCATCATCAGCATCATAAGGCTCCGAGGATGGCACCAACTTAGGTGGGGGAGAATGTCATGGGCCGCTTTCCATACACCACCCATGACCCCTTGGTCGCGCTCCATGGCAGCCTAGCAAGCCTCACAATGCCTAGCGCCATGGTTGGCCCCGTGGTCTCGGCAGCACCAAGTGAAAAGCGAGCAAGCGCCTCTGTCGCCCCACCGATAACTCTCGCCAGCACCTAGTGGTTGGCCAATGACAACAGTGTCGCGCGCCTTGACAATGCCCCGCGCGCAGATCCTGATACCTCGCCAGCGCCCAGCTGCAAGCCCATTCCATCAGCGCCTTGCACACAGACCCTGATGCTAAGCACCAGCGCCCAGCCACAGGCAAATACAACAAGTGTTGTGCGCGCTCCTACAGCACCGCGCGCGCAGACCCTGACCCGCCAGACAAAGATGCTGCCATCGGACTTGTTTTTACTTTGTAATAAACTAAGTCCTTTTCATTGTAATAATAGGCTAGTTTTACATCATTTTCATTCAGTGTGCTTTTACCGCTTTATTAAGTCAAGTCATGTAACTTTGGTTTATTTTTTTTAAGCATTATTAGAGGGGATCAAGCAATCATTTCTCTGTACTGATGTATCTCCCCCTCGACACCGCATCTTTTGTAATCAGCTTTCATTCATCAATAAAATTATCATCATAATTCAAAACTCAATTCTTTCTCAACTTCCGCAATTACTCGTGACATTGGTTTTCCTGCACGGCACTGACAATCTAGTCTAGCGTGCGGAGGGGACCTCATTGACGGATAGCAACTGCACTGACATCGGTTGTTTAGCCTTACGTTGCCCTTCCAAGGAACATCAGGAAGGCACCACGTAACATTACACATAACAAAATTGTAGTCTAAGTAGTCCTTTACCATCTTCTATTGAAAGGACCAAGGCTGGTTTTCGTCATCAAATTTAATGATTCAAATTGACTATTCTGCAGCATTTAAATGTCATAGCTAAAACAACTTGATTGACTTCAAGAATGGAAGTCTTCTTATAGGTTTGTTTTTTCCCCTCAAATAATTGATCCAAGATGTATATATACCCTACAAACCAATGGAAAATATCTTTGACTAACATCAACTCCATCTAGATATGTTTGAAAATGGAAACCATTTTCGACCATTTATTATATTAGTATCATTTATCATCAGAATTAATCTTCTATGAAGAATGAGATAACATACAAAGATAACTAATTAAAGTGTGTAAGAAGAAATAAAAGGAGAACTTAGAAACATTTATAGCATATGTCCCAAATTCTCACTACTACTTCTCGGAACCTAGTTCTATTTTCAAACCAATGACACTCATGGAGAAATTCTTGTTCTATTCTCAACTAGCAGTCTTGTTGCTTCAATATGTAATGACTAGTTCAGCCATCAAGACCGAAATCAACATTATAAATGACCAATTAGCTCTTCTTTCCTTGAAATCTCAGATCATTTCTGATCCTTTTGAGCTCTTGGCCAAAAGCTAGTCTCAGGATACTTCTGTTTGCAATTGGATTGGAGTCACTTGTAGCTCTCTGCACCATAGAGTGACTTCCTTGAACATCTCCAACATGGATCTAACAGGAACTATTCCTCAATATTTTGGAAACCTCACATTTCTTGTTTCTCTTGACTTGAGAAGCAACAGTTTCTATGGCACTCTACCTCAAGAAATGGCTCATTTGCATCGACTAAAGTTTGTTAGATTGAGTTATAACAATTTTAGCGGTGAAATTCCTTCTTGGTTTGGTTTCTTTGCTCAACTTCATGTTCTTACTCTAAGGAATAACAGTTTTACTAGTTTAGTCCCTTATTCTATTTCTAACATTTTCAGTCTTGCAATTTTGGATTTAGCCTTCAATGCTTTAGAGGGACAGATCCCAAAAGACATTGGAAACCTTAAAAATTTGAGGGGTTTAAGCTTTGAAAGCAACATTCTTATAGGTTCTATTCCTCCATCCTTCTCAAATGCCTCAAAGCTAGAAACTTTGATTCTTTCTAAGAATTTCCTTCATGGAAACATCCTAAATGGGATTGGTGTTCTTCATAACCTCAACTGGTTGACTATAGAAACTAATTAGCTTTCAGGTTCTATATCATTCTCAATTTTCAACATTTCCACACTTGAGACTGTTGGAGTTTCCAAAATAGTTTATCTGGTAGTCTCCCTAATGATTTATGTGATCGTCTTCCGATACTCAAAGGGCTTTATCTTTCCTTTAATAAGCTACGAGGTCATATGCCACCAAGCTTGTCAAGATGTTATAAACTTTAGTTATTTTCTCTATCAAATAATGAATTTGATGGACCAATACATAGTGAAGTTGGGACGTTAAGTAACTTGCAGACATTATATCTTGGATTTAACCGTTTCACGGGTATGGCACAAGGTATTTCTTTTTTTAATTCTAATAAGTTATGAGGTCTTTTATTTTCTTTTTCCTTTTTTTTAGCTACTTATACAGGATGTTGTCACATGATTGCAGGGGAAATACCACAGGAAATTGGGGATCTTGTTAATTTGATTATGATATCTATGGAGAAAAACCAGCTTACAGGCCCTATACCCATGTCCATATTCAATATTTCCTCACTACAACTTCTGTCGCTGCAGGACAACAATCTAACTGGATCATTACCAAGGGAGATTGGAAATTTAACTATGCTTCAACGTCTATATCTTGGTAGAAACATGCTAACAGGTATACAACCACAGAAGTTAAAAAGTTTGTTATGTTGAACTACCTTCCTGAAGATCATTAGTTCTATATAAATTTGGCAGGTGAAATACCAAAAGAAGTAAGCAATCTCATCAAGTTAGAGGACTTTGATTTGGGGAGAACAGATTGAGTAGTTCATTTCCAGTGGGGATTTTCAACATCTCAGGACTGAGATTGATTAATCTTACAGATAATAATATATTGGGAACCATCCCATTGAATATAGGTTCTATGCTTTCCAACATTGAACTTCTTTATCTAGGTGGCCTAACTAACCTAGTTGGGACTATACCTCATTCACTCTCAAATTGTTCAAAACTTATTGTTCTAGATTTTTCTCTGAACAAACTGTACGGCTCGATTCCCAACTCTCTTAGAGATTATGTTACTCGGACTCTTCAAAAATGTTGTTGGGTTCGTGTCGGATCCTTCAAATTTAGTGCATTTTTGGAGGATCCTACAGGGGTATGGGATCACTTTTAGAGAGTCCGAGCAACATAGCTTGGAGATTTGACACTCCTAGAGACTCTAAACTTGATGGAGAACAATTTGAGCAGTGACCAGTCTTCTCAGGAACTCAGTTTGTTAACTTCCTTAATGAATTGTAGAAATCTAAAAGAACTTAGAGCCCGTTTTGATTAGCTGATTTGAAGTAGCTGATAAGCATTACGCGATGAAAAACACTTTTAAGTGCTAAAACTGATTTAATAAATAAGTAGTTACGTGTTTAGATACAAGTACTGAAATTGATAATAAGTTGTTGCAGTATTTGATAAAAAAGTGCTGATGAGCTTTTTTTTCTGTTAAAATGACTTACATAACCTTATAATTGTTTACACTTATAAGGGCGCAATTTTTTCAATATTTTAGATTCCAGATCAATTCAAATACAAAATATTCTATTTGTTATTTTATTTTAGATATAATTGTGCTTAGATAAAAAAAATTATGATAAATATAATTTATTTTATGATAAGCATATAATTATAAGTTATAATAATTAATGAATTGACAAAAAAAATTTAGTCAAAAATAAACCTAAATAGGACAAGATATTTGAAGAGAAACAAACACTGTCTTTATCACAACAACACTTAGAAAGTAATACAACAAAAATTCTGATATGTCCTCATTTATTATATACAGTTCAAAGATTAATACACAACCACATAGATACAAATAAACAAAGGAATAGAGAATTTACTTATCTTAAATAGTCAATGAGAATTCAAGACTTGAAGAGGCGAGGGTTTAGGTTGAAACAATACTTGAGGCAGTGAGTATTGATGTAAGAGTTTGTTTTTTTCTAAAAAAGAATATTTTAAGGATAAAATAGTAAAAATCTTGGTCAAATTTAAAGTGCTTATAAGCTGAAAATTCATAGGCTGAGAGTGACCAGATTATGGCTTTTGGCTTATTTTTGACATATAAGCACGTGGTTTACAAGCACTTTTAACTTTACCAAACGCGTAGATAAGCAGAAAAGTGCTTATAAGCTAGTTTGACCAGCTTATAAACTTAGTCAAGCACCCTCTTAGTCTTTCCTTTAACCCTCTAAATGGTATGCTTCCAGCCTCAATTGGAACCTTTCAACTTCTACAACAACAACAACAACAACAACATACCTAATAAAATCTCACTAGTGGGGTCTGGGGAGGGTAGGATGTACGCAGACCTTACCCCTACCCCGGAAAGGTAGAGAGGCTATTTCCGGGAGACCCTCGGCTCAACAGAAGAGATAATAATATTAGAAAAAGGTAGAATTCCAAATGAAATTGGAAAATTAAGCAGCTTAATATTTTGGCGAAATACATAAATAGCCCCTTCAAATTGTCCTCAATGATCATTTGAACATTTAAACTAACCTAATGACCATTTAGACACTTTTATTTGACAAAAGTGTATTTATTGGACACTTAAGTCAAGCAGACCCCATGCGTGACATACACTTGCTGCTGACATGGCAAATGCGCAAATTAAATAAGAACACATGTAATTTTAAATAAAAATAATTTCACATGTAATTAAGAAATACTAAAAAAGACTAAAACATAATTTTTCAATTCTTCCAAACATAGAATTTCCCCTCCCCCTCATCTTTTTCTTCACGGCCTCCTCTCTCCTTCATCACAAACACCCTTTTTTTAATCTCCATGCCAAATTTAATCTTTTCTACTCAAATCAATTTAGCCTAAGTTAAAGTAATGCTTGTTTTCCGGAAAAGTCAACTTCATGGAATGGAATTATGATAAGCCATAACAAGGTATTTGCCGGAAAAATCAAACGTCACCGGAAAAAGAAATTTTTTTTTGCCGTTTTTGTTCTATTTCCTCTTCTTCTTCCAGATTTTTTTGTTTTGTCATTTACTTTTGCCGCGAATTCAATTTGATTCTTTTCTCATTCTTTAATTTAGATGATTGCAGTGCATGCTTCTTCGTGAATTTCTACTTTTTAAGGTAAATTTTTCTGTACACTTTGGATTTGGTATTATAGGTTTACTATTATTTATAGATTGTGTAATTATAGAAAAACAATACTTTTGCCTAATTTTTCTTTCTTTGTTTTTTTGTTAAGGCGGAGCTCACATGAGATTGTTGGCTTGTTTCCTTAATCCTGTGGTGGATTTATGGCAGACGATAGCCCTAAAATGAGTATGAGCTGTTGGTGTTAGGTTAGAGGAAGATTGGTTGGTGGAGATGAATTTTTGGGGGGGACGGTGAACATTTTTTGGAGGAAAAAAAGGAAAATGTGGTGTGGGCCACACATAAAAATAATTTGAGCTGAAATTAAAAGAAAACAACATTATTTAGAGTCCTCACGCGCTCAATGCTTAGTGAGGCACAATTAATTTGCCATGTCAGCACAAGGTGTTTAAAAGGCACACACTTCTATCAAATAAAAGTATCTAAATGGCTATAGGTTAGTTTAAGTGTTCAAATGATCGTTGTGGACAACTTGAAAGAGCTATTTATGTATTTTGCCTAATATTTTTGTTTCTCTATGGGAACAGCTTGACCGGATCAATACCCATAACACTTGGCAACTTAATCAGGCTACAACAACTGTCTCTGGCCAGCAATAAGCTAACATGATCCATTGGAGACAGTGGCGGAGCCAAAATTTCATCAAGGGGTGTCAAAATATAAATAATTAAGGAGTCAACGTATAGTAAATATACATAAAATAAAAAAACTATCTAGCAATATAGTGTAATTTTCCGGCGAAGGGGTGTCGCTTGACACCCCTTGGTTCAATGTGGCTCTGCCACTGATTGGAGATAGCCTATGTAAATTGCAGAACTTGGGTAGCATATATTTGGGTGAAAATCAACTTTCAGGGCTTGTTCCTAAATGTTTAGGGAATGTTACTTCCCTTAGCGAGATAAAACTCAATTCCAACAGACTGAGTTCCACTATACCATCAAGCTTAGGTAACCTCGAAGATCTTCTGGAGCTCGGCTTATCGTATAACAACATGAGCGGCTCTTTACCTGCAGAAACTGGAAATCTAAGGGGTGTGATACGTATAGATCTTTCTCAGAATCAATTTTCAAATGTTATTCCTAGAGAAATACATGCAAAATCTGATGCACCTTTCTTTGGCACAAAACAAGCTGCAAGGATCTATACCTGACTCAATTGGTAGCATGCTGAGCTTGGAATATCTAGGCCCCTCCCATAACAATCTATCTGGATCAATACCCATGTCCTTGGAGAAACTTCAATATCTCAACTATTTCAATTTTTTTTTAACAACTTGCATGATGAAATTCCCTCCGGTGCTCCTTTAAAAAATCATTCTAGCCAGTTATTCATGTTCAATGAAGCATTGTGTGGTGCTCCAAGATTTCGTGTCCCCCGATGCCCCATTTCGTCAAACAATGGATCGAAGAGGAAGAAGTTACTTCTGATAGTTTTTCCTCTTCTGCGAGCTGCTATGATAATTATTTTTGTAACATTGGTATTTCTACGTATGAGGTACAGAAGAGAAGGAAAGGTTCCAGTTCCAGTCCAAGCTAATTTGTTGGCTACAAGGGGAAGAATTTCATACTATGAACTAGTACAAGCCACTGATGAGTTTAGTGAGAGTAATTTTATTGGTTCTGGGAGTTTTGGTTCTGTTTACAAAGGTATTCTCAAAAATGGCACTATAATTGCAGTTAAAGTGTTCAACCTACAACTAGAAGGTGCATTCAAGAGTTTCGAAACAAAATGTGAAGTTCTCCCTAACCTTCGCCATAGGAATCTCACCAAAGTGATTAGTAGTTGCTCCAACCTTGACTTCAAGGCATTGGTGCTCGAGTACATGCCTAATGGGAGCCTTGATAAGTGGTTGTATTCACATAACCACTTCTTAGACCT